CGCCCCGCCCTCCGCGGGCTCCGCCTCGCGGCGCCTCAGTTTCCAGCGCTGTCGGCCCGCAGGACGGGCTTGCGCGCGTCTCGGAGCGCCTGGGGAAAACCGAACCATCTAACTTCTGATAGAGCGTTCTCCAGAGGTAAGATCTTACACCTCCTGGGAGATGTGGCCCTGGGAAAGTGCCACCTCCCAGGAGGCCCTCCGCAGGTGGTGTCCCACCGTCTTCCCTTTGGCCACCTCGCACTGTGCTCATTCATGTGCAGTGCTTGTGTGAATTCCACCCCGCTGCCGAACACACACGACGGAGTTGCCCTCCCTAGAGCTTCTTGTCTGTGGATTATTTCTGTGACCCTCGTGGCTCCTAAAACCAGCACCCGCACTTTTTCTCTTTCCTTTTGTTTTTTTTTTTTTTTTTTTTGGGGCGGGGGTTTTGCCCTGGTGCTCAGGATTGAACCCAGGGCCTCCAGCAAAGCTAGGCGGGCGCACTACCACTGACCCACATCCTCAGCCCTTCTTAAAATTTTATTTCAAAACAGGATCTCACCGAGTCACTAGGTTGCCCAGATTGGCAGCCCCATCTCCCCATCTTCCTGCTTCAACCCCTCCCAGTAGACAGAATCACAGACATGTGACACCATATCCCACACCTGCACACATATTTATTTTTATTTATTTATTTATTTTGAGACAGGGTCTCGCTATGCAGTTCAGGCTGACCTTGAGCTCACTTTGTAGCCCAGACTGGCCTGAAACTCGCAACAATCCACCTGCTTCAGCCTCCCAAATGCTGGGATTACAGGCGCGCACCCCCACACCCGGCTACTTATTTATTTTTAGACAGGGTCTCCATATGTACCCCAGGCTGGCCTCAAACTCCCTGTGATCCTCCTGCCTCAGCCTCTTGAGTGCTGGGATTACAGGTGTGCACCACCACACTCAGCACGATTTTTAAATTCCAAAAACGAGTTGCATGCCTGTGTTCATCAGGAAGTGGATGAACCTGGACACAGTGGGGTAAGGTGAAGTTCCATCACCAGGAGGTGTGGGCAGCGCTCAGGTGACCTTGAAGCTGAGCGTCTCGTCAAGCCCCTTGCCTCCATGTCACCGTCCTGAGCGACCATGGGGCTCCTGGTACACACTAACCCTCTCCTCTGTATGTGAGCACCCAGCCATCCCACAAGTACGGCTTAATGTACAGGGCTGTTGGGTTTCCATCCTGATGGATGACACCTGATAGTCTGGCTGACCTGCCTGCACTCGTATGCTACACACACCCCAGGGTGATATAATGCAATGAATCCAGGAATCCACATATTCAGTTTTCGACTGTTGGCTCCGTTACTTTCTAGCTGTTCCGCTTTGGACAAGTTCCTCTGCTTCTCTAAGCCTTGGGCTCCTCATCATCTGTAAAACCAAGATATTGAGATCTACCTAATAGGGTCTTTGAGATGGCACGTAAAGTTCTCAAAACACAGTGGTTGCCTTCCTTCCCTGTCCCCCGGTCAGCTTGTGGAGTTGTCGTCTGGAGTGCTTTGTGTCATTTCCCATCATCCCTAGAGTAGAAGAGGTCAAGCGGCCAGCCCAGAGGGAGGAAGCAGAAGCATTCCTATAACAACCAGCCATGTGGGGTCTCGACTGTGTGGAGGCGGGTGAGGCCTAGCCCAGGGACAGCCCCAGAGGGCAGAGTGACAGAGCCATTTGGGGCCAGGGGCCGTGAGGCTAAGCAAGCGAGATGATTCATTTCTGGCTGCTTTGGATGAACAAAGAGGAAAAGAAATGTCCCAGGAGAAAGGTGGGAAAGCCAACCTAAAGTGTGAAGGCAGAGGGAAGGGGTGGGGGATGAAGAGGGACAAGCCGAGGACATTGCTCCTGAGGACAGTGCCGGGGCAAAATTGTGACCTTGCTCTTCTCTGCATCCTGACTCACTGTCCCCTCCCTGGAGGTCTCCCAGAATCAACCTACGGAAAACGTTGTGCATGTCTCTCGCCTGCCGAAGAGCCAGGGATTGGGAAGTCTCCTTAAGTTTTCCTGCTTCCTCTCCTTATTTTTGGTTTTCCTTGAACAGGAATCAAAGCACAGAATTTCAGGCATCCTTAGAATTAAAAAAGAAAACAAACAACAGCAAAACCTCTGTTGTTTTGTTGTGAGAGGCTTTTGCTTCCTGTTTGGTGGGGGTGGGAGTGCTAGTGGACACTTGCTGAGTGCTCCTCAGAAGAGTTTCCTGCAGTTCAATAACCTGAGCTGCAAGATCCCCCGCTGAGGGCAGCAGGCTGGCAGCCACCTTGCAAAAGAGAAGTTGAACCTCAGAGTTGAATCACCCAAAGTCACTGAGTCAAAGAGCAAGCAGGGGCTTAAACATAGGTCTGTTATCTTGGTGTCCCCCATTCCCAGGTTATTTCATGAAACCCACTCCCTTCGGGCTTGATTTTTTGTTTGCTTTCATATACACTTTTTTATAGTTCAGGGTGGCTTGGAACTCATAGCGATCCTCCTGTCTCAGCCTCCCAAGTGCTGGATTACAGGCATGTGCCACCACGCCCAGCGTTTCTGTATTCATTTAATGAGTACAATGTGATGGTTTGATACGCATAAACATTGTATAGTGATGATCATAATCAAATAACAACATCCATCACCACCCAGGCTGTACATTAGATCCCCAGGACTTGGTCATCTTATACCTAACTCCAAGTTTGTACCCTTTCTTTTCACTACTATTTATTCCCCAAACTTTCATTGCCCCAAATGGAAACTCTGTAGCCTACTCCTGGGTCCTGGATAAGAGTTGAGCTCAGCGTCTGTGGTCAGGAACCAGAGGCTGATCCAAAGATGACATGACCGAGGGCTGGCGGTGCATGGTGGGTTGAAGCGGTCTCTCTGGGGTGCTGGGCCAGGCTGGGGTGAGGGACGGAATGTCCTCTGTAAGTAAAGCTCGCAGGGTCCTTTGAGTGCTGACATGCTGCTGTGTCCTCAGAGCGCTGCCTCCCCCGCTGAGTGGAGTGGAGCTGCAGCAGGGCTGGAAGAAAGCCCCTGGCTGCATTCCCAGGAAGAGGCTCACGATCCCCAGGGAACAGTGTAGGATGCTTTTGTGAGTTTAAATGGTTATTTATGTTGATTAGTCTTAAAATTTTGAAGAAAACTATGATTATAGGCTTTTTTGGTTTTTTGTTTGTTTGTTTGTTTTTTCGGTACCAGGAATCGAACTCACAACCTCATGCTTGCCAGGCAGGTGCTGTGCCGCTGAGCTAAATCCCCAGACCCAATTATAGGAAATGTAGGAAATAGAGTAAAGAAAGAAAAACCACTCATAATCATGGCCACCATTTACTCAAGGACTGCAGTGTGCCCAGCTGCTTCCACGAAATACTCCCTTTAATCTTTCCCATACCTTGAAGTGTAGTTTTATGCCCATTTTACAGATGAGGCAACTGTGACCCACAGAGAAGCTAAGTAAATTTGTTCAAGGTTACACAACTGAGATGATGCATGGTGGGTAATGCGTAGTACTGCAGCTGAGATTTAAAGCCAAGTCTGCGTTGGACCCTTTCTACCAATACATCGGATTGAATCAGATAAACTTGACTTCGAAAAATGGCAGTGTCATGCAGTTCAACCTAATATACTTGGAATCATACTGCTACATTTTTGTGGGTTTCTTTCTGGTCCTTGGTGCATACACTAATGTGATTGAGACTGTAGTCCTCATAAAACTTTTATCCCTCTTATACTTCTCTACACATTTTTTTTTTTGTCTTTTTGTTTTGTCTTTTTGAGACAGCATCTCGCTATGCAGTTCAGGCTGGCCTTGAGCTCACTTTGTAGCCCAGGATAGTCTCAAACGCACAACGATCCTCCTGCCTCAGCCTCCCAAGTGCTGGGATTACCACACCCGGCTACACACATCTTAATCCCATTATTATGGCTGTGTCATGAGATCATTTTAATGACAGTGTAATAATCTGTGTATATTCCTTCACTGTTGGACAGATGGATTTCTACCAGTTTTTGCTACTGTACATAATGTAATGATTGTCTTTTGTACCCAGTGGTTTTTTTTCTTCCATCTTTAGAGTTGTGTTTTTGCGCATCGCATTCTTCTGTGCTTGCTTGCTGGTTTGCTGGTCTCCCTTGCTGTTCTGGGCTTTGCTAGCACAGGGGTTGCCTGTTGCATTCTTGGCTGTAACCCCAGCACCTGCCTGCTACATAGCAGGGATTCAGTAAGCGTTTGCTAAATAAACAGACATGGGTATCAATAAAAAAATTAATAAAGTGAGAGGACTTGGGGTCACAACCGCATTTTCCCTTTTAAAAGAAAGAACAGGAAGGCAAGTGAAAAAGCAAACAGTCCAGTGACGTGCCAAAGAATCTGGTGGAGTTGACCTGTATATTTCTATATTCAATTTCACTTTGTCAGGGATATAGCTCAGTGGCACAAGTGCCTGCCTGGCAAGCATAAGGTCCTGAGTTCCATTCCCAGTACCAATTTCACTTTGCCATCAACGACAGGAATCAGCTTGGCATCCAGAGAGACTCCCTAATCCAATATTGTGAACTATGTGCTCATCCATTCATTAAGTGCAGTATTTATGGGGCACCTACTGTGTGCCCAGCACACAGGTGGTGGGTGCTGGGGAGAAATGAATGTACATATACACAGTGTGGTTGGGGAGTGATAATGATATAAGGAATAAAAGGATAGAGAAGGATAAAAGGTGTTATTGTAAATAAAGAGGTCAAGGAAGTCCTCCCTGATGAGGTGACCAGTAAGGAAGGGGTCAAGCCAACCCTACACCTGAGAGGAAAAGCATTCAGGAAATGATGAGAGGAAGTGCAAAGGTCCTGGGGTGGTGATGCTTGGTGTTTGCTTCATTGAGCTCCTTTGAGCATAGGGCTGTCCCACTCCCCGCTGTTGTGCCTTAGTTATGTTGCTCCCCCTCCTACCATAGCCCTCTCCCCCCTACACCAGCCCCCATCCGTCTAGGAAGTGTATCCCCACACTCAGATTCAAATGTGACTTCTTACAGCTTGCCTTTATCTCCTGCACCTATGTTCCCACAAAAATACTCATATTTCTATTATAACAACTATCACTGTAGCTCTTTTTATCTGTTTTGTTCCAGTCAGCAGTGATCTGGTGAAGCGCAGATTGCCATATTCACCTTTGTAACCTTGAAGCAAGGTGTGTATTGGACCCAAAATATGTTGGTTGATTCTTTTCTATGAAATACGTAAGATAGGTCAAACCACAGAGACAGGAAGCAGAGCAGAGGTTTTTTTGGTGGGGGGCGGCGACTGGAGAATGACTGCCAATGTGCCTGAGGTTTGCTTTGGGGGTGTTAGAAAGGCTCTGGCCCTAGATAGCGGTGACTGCGGCACATTGGGAATGGACTAAATGCCACTGAACTGTGCATTCAAATGTACGAGATTTGCCATAATTTTTTAAAGATGGATGGCTGAATTGAGTGGAATTGAGGCCATCATTATACAGACAGTCGTTTATGTGAATTTGCATTCTGAATAAAATACAGCAACCCAGAGAATGGAAAAATGCAGCCCATGAAATCTAAAGAGCCAGTAAACAGGTCCTAAGCGGACACAAGATCATTGCTCCCATGTTAGACCCTTGCCGGAAGCACGGAGGGAGAAGTTAGTCTTAGAGGTTTAGTTCCAGCTACAACTAAAGGGATTAGAGTGACATCTGTTGGAAATTTGAACGTTGAGGGGAAGTGTCCCTGAAGGAACTGGGCTTTAAAAACCGGGCTCTGAGACCGCAAGTTATGCCTACATCAACCACATGAGGCGGCATGCTACAACGCATCTGGGGGTTTGCCTCTTGAGGTTGTTTCTGAGAAAATCACATTTCATCTTCAACTTTATAACCAATTATCCAATTAGTAATGTCTCTCATTGTATGGCACTGTGTAGCTTAACAATGATTTATATACTTTGATTTCTGCAACAGTCATTCAAGGGTGGAACTTTGAGTTTTGTTTGTTTTTTTGAGACAGGGTCTCGCTATGCAGTTCAGGCTGGTCTCAAACTCACAACAATCCTCCTGCCTCAGCCTCGTGAGTGCTGGGATTACAGGCGTGTGCCACCATGCCCGGCTGAGTTTTATTTTGTAAAAAGGAAAACTGTTCAACAGGAAAAAACTGAGATAAATATATAATATGTAGCCGCGGTGGAGCATGAGCTTAAATATGCTGATTCTGGTTCTCAAGACTAGAATGTTGTGTGTGTTGGTTTTTTTCTTATTTTGATTATTTGCTTAATAATTTTAGTTCTTTGCAATGCTGAAAGACAATAAAATATACTATCATACAGAAAAAAGAAACCTCAAAATTTCTCTCAGGCCATGACTAATAGGACTAATTGTCTTCCCTCTATAAAAAAAAAAAAATCACTGAGGGTTGCGAATGGGACAGAGAACTAGGTCAAGTGTTCCCGCCCCTATGACCTAAAAATGTCACTAAACATTCAAATCTTCAATGATGTACATCTAGCTCAAAGCCATTAGGGGAAGTAAACTTTCAAGTAACATTTTATTACAGCATAACAAATATAGAAAAGTGCACAGGTCATAAGCATGCATCCTGGTGGGTTTTACAAAGTGCACATAAATGTTTAACTAGCACCCACAGCTTTAAATAGATAAAGTACTGTATAGCCAGCAATCCAAAAGGCCCATAGCCAGGCACCTATAATCCCAGCACTCGGGAGGCTGAAGCAGGAGGATCGTTGTGAGTTCGAGACCAGCCTGGGCTACAAAGTGAGCTCAAGGCCAGCCTGAACTGCATAGTAAGGCCCTGTCTCAAAAAGATTTAAAAAAAAAAAAAGGCCCATTAACTCTTCAGTAATCAGCCCTCAAATGGAACCTGTGTTTTATCACTTTAGATTAGTCTTGACCCATTTTTATCTCATATTTAAACATGTGGCTTCTTTCAGTCAGCATGCTTGTGATTCACCTATGTGACTGGCTGCGCTCAAAGTGTACTAACAGATGCACAGTAGACAGGCCTGGTGGTGCCCACCCGTTATTCCAGCTACTTTGGAGGCTAAGGCAGAAAAGGCAGAAAAAGATTGGAAGTTTGAGACTGGCCTGGGAATTTATCAAAGTCCTGTCTCAGAAGAAGAGCAGATACCTACTACACCTGAGAAGGTCATAGCCAGGAAGCCTGAGAAGCCCATTTCAAAATAAAGAGGGATAAGCCGGGTATGGTGGTGCATGCCTGTAATCCCAGCACTCGGGAGGCTGAGGCAGGAAGATCATTGTGAGTTGGAGGTCAGCCTGGGTTACAAAGTGAGCTCAAGGCCAGCCTGAACTGCATACGGAGACCCTGTCTCAAAAATAAATAAATAAACAAATAAATAAGAGGGATGCAGTGACTTCAGTGGCAGAGCACATGCCTAGCACCTTCAAGGCTCTGAGTTCAATCCCAGAACAATGAACTTTTTTTGGTGGGGAGGGGACAGGGTCTCGCTATGAAGTTCAGGCTGACTCGAACTCATGACAATCTTCCTGCCTCAGTTTTCCCAATGCACTAGCAGACAGAAACACCAAAATGACACCCAGGATTTGGAGGCAGATTTATTTTACATGGATGGGCACTGATAAGGATCACTCCCAGAATATCAGGCCCTGATCTCTGCTGGTCTAGGGCTTACATGGGATAAGCGAGCAGGAAGTACAGAGGCAGAGTGGCTTGTCAGTTGGGGATTGGTTATACAATGTGCATCATCGTGACCAGCTATGCATCACAGTGACCAGCCATTTCTAAGGGACCAGAAGCAACTGAAACTAGGATAGGAACTATGATTTAGGTCAACTAAGAAGCTGAAGCACACTGGCTGGGGGGGAGTTTTCTGTTACATTTCCCCCCGCCTTTTAGTTTCTGTAAATCTTTGCTGGGCACATTACATGTGATCTTCTGAGACAAGGCCCAACTAGAAGCAGCAACGTTAGGGTTGTCAGTGATCCTAGGATGGGCTCTAGCCAAGCTCCCCAAGATTATCTTATTACAGAGTTTTTTCCTAAACTGTTTTTAGGAACAGATAATTTAGGCCTACCTGTTTTGTAACATTACTTGGCAAGGTAGTAAAGGAGTTAGTCTGATCTAGGAGCGAATCTTGGTTAACTATTTGATTATTCTATTCTCTTGGGGCAGCCATCCATAGACGTTAAGGCAAAAAACACAGCTAGTAGGGGGTGGGGAAGCAAGACTGGGATAAGTAGCCTGAAAAGACACAAAAATCAAGGGAAGTAGGTGTGGAACAATCCTGTGAATGATGTCCTCAGGCTTCGGCCATGCATGGACTGATCAGCATCCAGAGTAACCAGAGCAGGGCTTTGAGTACGTGGAGGAGCTATCCCGGTAAATTTTTCGGTGGATCTAAGGCTGGATTTCTGAAACTTGTAGAGGTAGTTAGTATGTACCTGGGTGATATGTGTGTGAATCTGGTTTTTGAGTTACCTCTGCTACAAATGCAGGTCGTTATCATTGCCAGTGATAAAGGGTAGGCCATATCTAGGGATGATTTTTTACAGCAGGACCCTACAAACTTTTATTGTCTTCTCAGTATGGGTAGAGAATGGGAGGTTGGGGCTGGTGACACAGATGCTGAAGCCTGAACTGGCTTCAGGGGTACGAGTGCCAGTACAGTGGCTTGAGTTTGCAGAACATATGGTGGGGGCAGGTCTGATGACTGGGATTGATGTTTTAGTCAGTCTGATCCCCAGAGGGGGCCTAGGCCTCTGGACTGGATTATTTTATGTCCTTGGTGGCAGGTGTCCAAACAGCAGCAGGAAGCAGTTTGCTGTGCAGATCATCCCCACAGGAGAGTTTTGGCCAAAATAGTTTTGTCCAAGGTGACCACAGCATATCTAGCCTATTGGACTTCATCTCTAACAGAGCTACTTCTGTCTTTTTTTT